GATCGTTAATTGTTACATTTTAAATTGTTAATGACTGTCCTTACAGTTATTAATAAATACGGATAAAAAAACCTAATAAGTTGAAAAGAATATAAGGGCAGTTTAGTAATTAAATAAGTGAAATCGTGAGATATTTTGTGACTTCAAATTTATATTAATTTGACAATTTTAAAAAAAATTGTATTAATTTCTCTTAGCAAGGATCTTAATGCAATTTTTCTTTCTTCTTTTCAAGCAAAATACACTAACAATATGGTAGGAAAAGAAAGATATTTCGTGATTTTGCTAAAATAAAAGTGCTAAAACCTTGGTTTTGTATTTAGGGCTGTTTAGATTAGCTTTTAAAGATTTATCAAAAAAAAAAAAAAAGATTGGCTCTTAAAGAATAACTTCTAAAAAAATTGATAAAAAATTATTTTAAGAATACATTTTAAAAGAATAGATTTTGTGAAAAATATGATTTTGATAAAATGAAAATATTTAGATGGTTGTTATCATAATTACTTTTTTTTTCCAAGTGCAAATTATTAGAAAAAACATAAATTAAGGTGATAATCACATAAAAGACAAATTTTAATTAATAATTTTATTTAAATTAAAACATTAGTAAATAATATATTTTTGTTTTAACAAATGATTTGTGATGAATAATTAATTAATAATTAATCTGTGTATACATATTTATGAAATATAAGATTAAACATATTTTTAGAAAAATGATAATTTCATCTCAGAAATTTTAAACACCATGTGTCATAATATTTTTTAAAAATCGAATAAATATATGTAAGACCAATTTATTATTTACATAATTAGCTAATATATGTGTGCATCTATTGATAAAACATAAGATTAAATATATCTGTATGTTCCAAACCATGGTTTTATATTTCCAAAAGAAAAAAGAAATTCACATGTGAAAAACCTTACTTTATAATACAAAAGTGATTTTATAAGAAAACTATGGTGTTTGGATGGTCTTTTCAAAACCATGGTTTTGAGATTTATCCAAACACAAACACAAAATTCTATGTGAAAATGATTTTGAGGAGATATTTGGATTAGCTTTAGAGAATACATTCTATAGAAAAGTGATAAAAATTTATTTTGAGAAGAGATAGAGGTATAGATATTATGAAAAAGTGATTTTAATGAAATGAAAATGTTTGGATGGTTATTATTGAAATTACTTTTTTATGTGTAAATTACTAAAAAATGATATAAGTTAATGTGATAATTACATAAAATATTATTGTTTAAGGCAATGATTCAGTAAATAATATATTTTTCCAACATAGTAATATATAAAAAAATCTAATTAATTAATAATTAACATGCATTTATATATATATATATAAAAGTTCCATAATATTTTTAGAAAAATTGAATTAACATATGTAAGACAAGTTTAATATTTATATAATTAATTGATTAATGACTAATAAATGTGTGTATATATGTTTATAAAATATAAGATTAAATATATATTCAAAAAACTATAATTCCATCTTAAAGATTTTTCATGCCAAGACCACGAGTTTTCTATTTCAAAAGGTATAAACATTTTACTTTTGAAAAGTCCTGGTTTTTCACCCCAAAACTATGGTCTCCAATCAAAATTGATTTTGTCATAAAAAAATTCATGTGTTTGGATAGTAGATCATGGTTTGGAAGCCAAAAGGCCTTTTTTTTTAAAAAAAAAAAAAATAGAAGCCAAACATCCAAATGAACTTCACATTTGCTTGCCCAGAAGAGCTTAGCGGAAGAAGACAGGGAAAATAAAGGGGGAAAATAAGAAAAGGAAAAATTACATTTATTATTTTTTTAGGGTACGGGGGTCAATGAATTATCTTTTTCTTCTTGAATATATTTAAAATTTTTATGGTCATTCATGATAAATATTACCCAGTGTTTTTGTGATTTAAAATATTGTAGGCAATGGATATGAAGTGTTCTTGAGTTTTAGTAGAGGCGAAGAGACTACAGAATCTTTCCCTTCTCGTCTCTATTCATATCTGAGGGAAAAGGGATGTTCTGTTTTCAAAGATGATATATCAATTGAACTATTGCAAAGTGTTCGATGTCGTAAAATTTTCGTTATCATTTTCTCTAAAGACTATGCTAGTTCTAGAATGTGCCTCGAGGAACTCACAAAAATCATGAAGTTTCGCAGCATGCCATATGATCATGTAGTTCTTCCCGTATTCTATGACGTGAGTCAGTGGGAAGTTTGTAATCAAGGCTCATTTCAAGGTCTCATACAAAAAGTTTCACACACTGAAGAGGAAGTTTCAAGGTGGAGGAGAGCTCTTCGTGAAGCTGCAAGGAACGTTGGTGGGATTGATGTGTCTGATTACCTCAAGCCCGGGTAATGTATTTTTCCTTGTGTTTTGCGTTCTATTTATTTTCAATTTTGCTAATATATTGTGCGCGTGTGTGAGAGAGTAGTACAACTTTTTTGGCAATCCATAACAATTAGTTATTAAAAGATAAGCTTGATATTAATTCTTAATAATAATTATTGCTACTCATGATGTTAAAGCCTATAGCACATAGCCTAGTATCACAATAAATGTGACAAACTTTTAATAGACAACAAATTTAGGATGCAGGACACGCATAATTCCCTTCTATTCATGCTATGCAGTGGAGTTTTATAATTTATGTAACTTGATTAACATCTATGATTTTAGGAATTGACTTGTATTATTTTAATTCGGCGAAGGCAAGAATATGATAAAATTAACAATGTTATTGTGTGTTGAATTTCTTGATGGAAATATATGTGTCGCTCCTAATACCGCATTATCCTTCTTTATTATTTGTAGTCATGCTAATTAATCAGTGCTCCCTTTTTTGCTATTCTTTTTTCATAATTCACAGCTCTCCACATGATGTGGATGGTATTGAGCCTATTATTGGTCTTGTTCTTCATCAATTGAAGCCTTCGTATAAGATGTTCCCTGTTGGAGTGGATTCTCGTGCTCAGGATGTGATTACAATGCTTCGTAACCATAAATCAAAACATATTGTCTTCATAGGCATATGGGGAATGAGGGGTATAGGCAAAACAACTATTGCCAAAGCCATCTTTAACCACATTCAGTGCGCATTTGAGAGTATATGTTTTCTTCCAAATGTTAGGGAACAATCAGAGAGGAAAGTCGACCTTGTTTCAGTAATATGTAAAGCAACAGATATGAGAATAAATAGCACTGAATCAAGAACCCTCGACTTGAATGAAAGACCTTGCCAAAAGAAGGTACTTCTTGTGTTTGACGATGTGAATCAGTTGGAGCAACTAAATACTTTATGTGGAAGTTGTGAACAGTTTGGTGAAGGGAGTATAATCATCATTACAACGAGCAATTTATATCTACTTAATGCCTTTCAAGTGGATGATATATATTGCATGAAACTTTTGAGCGATGAAGAGTCTCTTCAACTTCTCAGTTGGCATGCATTTCAACAATCATACCCTAAAGGAGAATTCATCCATGCTTGCAAAGAATTGGTTGTTTATGCTGAGGGACTGCCCCTGGCTCTTACTACAAGCATTGACTCTATTTTGAATAAGGAGGAATTGGATCAACGGGAATCCATATTGTGGAATATGAATAGAGCTCTCCATCCTGTTATATACAACAAACTAAGGCTTAGCTTTGACTATTTAAATGCTGAAGAGAAAGAAATATTTCTAAATATAGTTTTATTCCATATTGGGAGGGACATGGATGATGTGATCCAAAAGCTGGATGCCCATGGAAGCAATGTTCATATTAGGATACGAGTCCTAGAGGATCGAGGACTTGTAACCATTGATAACAACAACAAACTCAGAATGCATAATCTATTGCAGCTCATGGGAAGGCAAATAATCCGTGAGACTTCACAAAGTGAGCTTGAAGGTAGGTTATGGTTTTCTAGGGATGCTTTATGTGCTTCATGTCTTATATCAACGTGCCTGTATCAATGATAGTTAATATTATTATCCATAATATTTCTGACATTTTATAATCTTATATTATAAAAATGTTTATATCGTAATAATATTTTAATTATATTAATTTAAATAGCATTTTAATTTATTAATATTCTGATTTTTTGAAATGTATTATTCAGCTTATAGGTATGCGGTGTTTTTGAGTTCTAGAGGTGACACTCGGAATAATTTTACTTCACACCTCTATGCAGCTCTATGTAATGCTGGCATAACTATTTTTAAAGATGATGTTGAGCTTGCCAAAGGAAACTATATCAAAACGGAACTCTTGCAAGCAATTGGAAGTTCAAAAATAGCAATCATCATCTTCTCTGATGAATATTCTGGATCTAAATGGTGTTTGGAGGAATTGTCAATGATCATGGAGCTTCATGACTTCAATAATAGGGTGGTTTTACCTGTGTTTTACCATGTTGATTCGTCAAAAATTCATCATCAAACTTCCAATTTTGGAAAAGCATTTGAATATCTTATACAAAAAATTTCGCGATTAAACAATCAAATTTCACGATTTAAAGATCAAGTTTTAAAGTGGAGGAAAGCCCTTACTAAGGCTAGGAGTCTTGCTGGGACTGTTGTACTTAGTTCCAGGTAATTTTTTACTCTTTATTTACTTTTAATGGAAACACTTGATATGTGTTTGTTATTCGAAATATGACTCACTTCTGTTTGTTCCCTCCTAGGCACAGTCTTAAAAGTTACATATATTGTAAAATTCTCAAGTCTGATATGGCATATGCATTGTTTGGCAGTGAAATAATGAGTGTTTATTCATAATATTTCCTTTTCTCCAAACAAAACATATAGCTTTTAAAATATTGAATCCATTTATTTGTAACCATACTGGTTTTTATATCCAACGCACAATTGCTATTATGCTTATGTGATTTGCAGGGACGAGAGTGAATATCTTAAAGATGTCGTTAGGCAAGTTTGTGATATATTGGACAAGAAAGACTTGTTTGTCGCTGAACACCCAGTAGGAGTGGATAACCGCATGGAAAAAGTGATCACAATGTTGAAAAACTATCCGTCTGAAGATGTTGCCGTGGTAGGGATATGGGGAATGGGTGGTGCAGGCAAAACAACTATTGCCAAAACCATTTATAATCAAATGGGTCCCACTTTTGAGAGTAGAAGTTGCCTTTCAAACATCAGAGAAGTATGGGGTCAAGAAAAGGGAAAAGTGTGCTTACAGAACCAACTTCTTTCAGAAATATGCAAGACAACGCAAATGAAGATAAATAGTATTGAAGCAGGAATAATCACATTAAAGGATAGACTTCGCCATAAAAAGGCATTGGTTGTACTTGATGATGTGGATGAGTTACCCCAACTAAATGCATTAGCTGGAAGCTATGACTGGTTTGGTCAAGGAAGTAGAATAATTATTACAACTAGAGATAAACGTTTGCTCCCTATGGGTTGTCCCGTTTACCCAATAGAGAATTTGGATGATAAGGAATCTATTGAACTTTTTAGTTGACATGCATTCAAACAAAAAAGTCCTAAAAAAGATTTCATTGAACTTTCAAAAAAAATAGTTGCATACTCTGGGGGACTTCCATTAGCTCTTGAGGTCCTTGGCTCTTATTTATCTACTAGTGACGACACAAAGGAATGGAATGAAGTATTGCAGAGACTTGAAAATATTCCCAAGCAGGAGATACAAAAGAAGCTAAAAATAAGCTTTGATGGTTTAGATAGTTTGGACAAAAAAATATTCCTTGATCTATGTTGCTTCTTTATTGGGATGGATAGAAATGAAGTGGCACAAATATTAAATGGCTGCAAATTCTTTGCTGATACTGGAATCAAAACTCTTGTGGAGCGAAGCCTTGTAACCATTGATGAGAAGAACAAGCTTGGTATGCATGATTTGCTGCGTGACATGGGAAGAGGAATAATTCGTGAACAATCTCAAAATGAGCTTGGAAAGATGAGTAGGTTGTGGTTTCATGAGGATGCACTAGCAGTGTTATCAAAACACAAGGTAGGAACTCATTTTGTATCATAACACGGGTTTCTATTTTGCTTTTCGCAAACAAATAAAATAAGTGCACATTTCGATTTCAATACGCGTTTATTTTTGCAGGGAACAAAGGCTATTGAAGGAGTGTCTTTGATGTCAAAGGTTGGATCAAAGCATGTACTTCAGATAAAAGCATTTGAGAAGATGAAGAGACTCAGATTACTTCGTCTTGACAATGTACAACTTAGTGGAGATTACGAATACATCAGTAAAGATCTCAAATGGCTTTGCTGGCATCATTTTCCCAAGGAATACATTCCTAGCGACCTTTATCAAGAGGATTTAGTTGTTATTGACTTAAAGTATAGTAATCTCAGACGAGTGTGGAAGGAATCCCGGGTATGTAAATTAATAGCTAGTTTGTTGGCTTTTTGAGCCATAACTGCCCAAATAAAATTGAAAAATAAAAAATATTGTCAATAGAAAGCCTAATTTCTCTGGGAAAAAAAAAAAACAAAATACTTCAAACCTAGTTTCTGTGATATAGTGTTTTTTTTTAATTTTTTTCCCAGTATATGACTCAAAAGGCTGAGTTAATTTGTGGCGTTAGTTTCAAAGTTTATGGATTTATATTAAAGTGGGATTTGAGATGTGTAAATAAATTACTTTATTTTTTATTGGATTTTATATTTTACAACCTTCTTGATAGATTTTTTTTCCATAACTTCTGACTAAATCTTCCCTGTCCACCATTGAAGAATAAAGCTATCAGATTTTGTTTATTTCGCATTGCTTTACATGTCTTGCTATAGATCTAGATATTACCCCATTTTATTGAATTTGTGTTACCTTGGCTTTCTAGATCACGTATTCGATAGTATGTTTATCTCTTCCAGAGTTAATTTTCAGTTGATTGAAAACAATGTTTTCACTTAGGGTTTTCAATCTTGATGAAGGATTTTACATATAATTGTTCCCTCATATTTTATTATTAATTTTTTTAAGATGTGTTTAGCTAATTTCCCTTTGAAATTAAATGTTTTTGTTATAGTTATTGGAGAGTTTGAAAATCCTCAATCTCAGTCACTCTCTTCACTTGGTGCAAACACCTGATTTTTTGGAACTACCAAATCTTGAAGAGTTAATCCTCAAAGATTGTTTGAGGTTGAACACAATACATCATTCTATTGGGCTTCATCATAAACTTCTGCTGCTAAATTTGGAGAATTGTATTGGCCTTTGCAGTCTTCCAAGAAACGTTTATAGATCAAATGCTTAAAAACTCTCATTCTTTCTGGTTGTAAGAATATTGAAAAGCTTGAGGAGGACATAGAACAAATGGAATCTTTGACAACTCTAGTTGCTCCTACGTTAAAACAAGTGCCCTATTCTTTGGTGAGATTGAGAAGCATTTTATATCTATCTGTTTGTGGTCATGAAGGATTATCAAATCATGTGATTCCTTCTCTCTACCGGTCCTGGATGTCCCCAACAAATAATCCACTGCCTCTTACTCCATCACATGCGGGCATGCCATCATCAATTTTGTGGGATATGCTATACAGTATCGATAGTCCTTCAACAATCCCAAGTACTGTACCAAAGCACCAAAGTCCTTTGTTGGAAGATGGATTGGAGATTTCTGATTCATTGGGTACCACAAATTGTATGGACATCTCAATACTTAAGAATTGCTTGGAACATCTTTTAATTAACATCGGAAAGAATTCTCAAGTCTTTTGTACACTGTCAAAGAAGATTTCACAGGTTCTCTCTCTCTCTCTCTCTCTGAATTTTTTGAAAAAGATTTCTACATGCATAATTATATAGTTGAATTAGAGGTTATGTTTCTCTTATTATGCAGGGATTGAATCTTACAACGTATGGTGATGACTGTATTCTTCCTGGTGATAATTACCCCTATTGGCTAACATTCAAAGGTGAAGGAACTTCTGTAAAATTTAAAGTGCCTCCAGTTACTGGTCATGATCATTTAAAAGGGATGACTATTTGTTGTGTATATATCCCCTCCAAAGATTTGGATAACAAGGCATGTGAATCTTGTATACTTTACTTAATGATAATAAATTATACAAAGGCAACCACTTTGCTCTATAGAGAAGACGAACTGAAATCCTTGAAAGAAGTAGAGATGAAAGAAATAATATCAAATCTGGAAGCTCATGACCAAGTGGAAGTGAAAGCAGTTTTTGGGAATGGATTCACTGTGAAGAAAATAGCGGTCTACTTGATATACAATGAATCAATTGATAAACAGATGGAGCCTTCAACATCTGAAGCTGTAAATTTAACTGGCACCAAACACAGTTGTGAGGAGGAGTACGAGGCACATCAATCTACCAGACCTAGAAAGGCAATGAAGATTTGAAATTTGGAAACTTTCTTCCATTTTTTTCTGCAACACTTTCTCTTGGGTGTTTTTCTGGCCATAACACTTCTTATGAAGTCAACATGTCATTTCAGAATTAAAACTGATTTATACGTATGGTTGTATATAAATGATTATATTCTCCCATTTGCAGCTCCCTTTTTACAGATAATCTGGGGTGATACCCCTTTTTCCTCTTCCCTTCCTATTCTTGGCAAAAATGAAAATAGAATTGTATTAAAAACATAAGAAATGAAACCAACTAGTCTTTGTTTAACTTGTTATTGAAGACTATTACTCTACAATGTTAAAAAACCTTGTAGAATAGTGGCCAGAAGCAGTGGCGGGGCCATATTGGCTATGACATTAAAAATGGAGAAAGCAGAGTGTTTTGAGATATAGTTTGGAGCAAAAGCAAGAGACATGTCTGGAATTGCTGACGTCTTCTTGCTAAGGGGTCGTCATCTGTGCTATAATCACTCTTTTTATATAATGAGAGCTTAACAAACATATATTGCAAGATAAATAAAAAATAGACAATACTGTACTCACATATATATATATATGTATCTCTCTGTGACAAGTCTCAGAATTATAATACTAAGAGATGAAGAAGACCAGAAGCATTAACAAATAAGATGGAAAACTACGGGCTATAGGAAGGGAGTAAGGGAAACTTCAGAGTCATAGGGACAATGGCCTGAGGGACAAGGGAAAAAAAGCAGAGAGAAGTCTCATAATTAGCTTCACTGCCACAGGCCCCCATCTTTCCCCATCTAGATACCCCAATGGATTGTTCCACGTTAGTCCACTCTACATAAACCCAATTATCGCATCTTGTGGTTTATTAGTCTCAGGTTCACAATCATAAACTTATTTTATGTTCAGCCCATTCATTACAATCTGGCAGCTATTCTCCTAGGGTAACATTACCCATTTATCAGTTGCTAATGTGCCTGGAGCAGTGTCGTTTTATCCTATTTCTTTTTACTTGGACGCGGAATATATAACAAGTCATGATTGGTTGGTTCCAACTTATAAGGGTATAGCATTTGATGGCTTTTAATTTTTGGATGAAGATGAGATGAAAGAGGACAGCATTTGGGTACAAGCATTATAGTAGTCATTTGCAGAAGACAAAGTTCACCAGTCTGTCAGTCGCTGCCAAAGATGAATTTTACACTTATACTTTTCTTTCGGGTCTCCTTTCAGTTCATAACCTTTATTTTGGAATGAGCACTGAGATCTCCTTGTTGGCTGTGACTATGCGCTTCAGCGAAGATGTGTAAGCATTCTATTCTGGGTCTTATAATTTGGGAAGACAAGGAAACTCTCAAAAACATGCCTATTCATCAGAGCACTACGCTATAATTATGACATTAGTTATTGAGGTTCTGGCATTTAGAATCTAACGTTGCCAATTATTTATGACATGATGGGACTATGGTCATATGACCTCCTTTCTTTTCTTCCCAGCACAAGGTTTCGTTATTATTTGTGGAAGCCATATTCACTACCTGCGTCTTTGTATTTGTTCTAGATATAGTCTATGTAACCTCTTGGGTTTTGACTATTTTCTTCGGAGGATTGAAAATGAGTATCTTTTTGACACCTCTGTAGCTACATATTCGTGCTCATCACTTTCTTTCTTTATTAATAATTCATCTAAGGATGAGCCTCGGAGCAATAATAAGGCTGCAGGCATGTATTCCTAGAGATCATAGGCTCAAATCTTGAAAACAGTCATCCATGGATAGGCATATGTATGGCGTGATGGGACCACTCTCCTTTTTGGTTCAGTATGAGCCCATCTTGAGGGTGAAGTCAAACTTATAGCTAGGATGGACTTTATCGCTTCCCTGTTCGGACTTCTTGTTGACAGAGGACAATGATACGGGGGGTGATACGTATATAGTTTAAGCAGTTTCTCACTTTTGAGGATAAAGTTTATTATTGTTGATACACTTGCTATTATGACATGTAGTCTATAACGAGTACTCCTCTTGTCCTAAATATAAAACTTTTTTTATAGTAAAAAGTACTACCTCCGGTCCTAATTATAAGAACCAGTTGATTAATTTGAGGAGATTAAGAAAGTAAGTTGAATAAGTTATTTGTTCTAAAT